GGCCGTGGCAGGAGACCCAGTGTTGGTGAGAGGAGGGGGCCGTGGCAGGAGACCCAGTGTTGGTGAGAGGAGGAGGCCGTGGCAGGAGACCACAGTGCAAGATAAATAGTATAAGAGCTGATAGTGATGGAAGAGAAAGGAGAGAGTATGTTGTCGTTGCTGCTGTCCTTGTCATTTGTTTTCAGAACCCTTTGGTTTCTCCCTGGTAAGACTGGAAACTTCTCAAAGGTAGGGCTTTTGGTTCTGGGAGCCCTGCAGTGCGTGGTGCTGCCTTGAACATGGAGCTCTCATTGGCTTTGAGTTGACGTCCTGACTGTGGATGAATGTTTTAAAACAGTGTTAGTGGTCAAGATGCAGAGTCCATTTCAGTGAGTCTCGGGTATTACGCCAGGCAGCCCTGGCCTGAGCTGTGCCGTCCTTGTGCTCCCAGGAGCAGCTGTGTCCTCCTCCCCTCGCCGTGCTCACTGCCTTTATTCAGCAGCCTCTTTGGGCTTTTCTTTGCAGCTATGAAACCTGCGTGGTGGAACACCAGGATGCTTCCCCTGCAGGGCGTGTGGTGAGCGGGAGGTTTGGCTCTGGAGTGCCGGCAACCTGAGGACTCGCCGAGAACTCGGAGCCCAGCCCTGACTGCAGAGAGCCCAGCGCACGATGAACAGACTGAGCTTCCATAACAACAGAGTCATGCAGGACCGCCGCAGTGTGTGCATCTTCCTCCCCGACGACAAGTCTCTGAACATCATCATCAACGTGAGTGATCCCGTCTGGGGACTGTTTGTATTTGTTTGTTTATTTTTATTTATTTATTTTTTTTTTTTGAGACACACAGTTTCACTTTGTTGCCCTCGATAGAGAGCAGTGCTGTCACAGCTCATGGCAACCTCAAACTCTTGGGCTTATGTGATTCTCTCTCTTTCCTCGGTCTCCCAAGTAGCTGGGACCACAGGCGCCCAACGTAACACCCGGCTATTTTTTGATTGTAGTATCATTGTTGTTTGGCAGGCCTGGGTTGGATTCTACCCTGCCAGCTCTGGTGTATGTGGCTGGCGCCCTAGCCGCTGAGCACAGGCGCCAAGCTGGGGGAAGTTTTTAAATGTTGTGTTCCTGCCGATGAGCACATGCAAGTGATGGCTTAGGTGAGGGTGAAGGCCACGTGGAGTGGGACCTCTAATAAGGTGGCAGGAGTAAGTGCAGCTGCCACCAGCATCCTCTTGCCTGGGGCAAAATTAGACAACTTTGGTTAACTATATTGAAAAACGGATGCTTGTGATTTTTAAACTTTTTATTGAAACGTATTTATTGAAGTATAGAAATCTTAAGTGTGCAGCTCAGTGAATGTTTCCAAGTGTGTGCATCTGTATAACCATTGCCAGTCTGAGATGAATGACGTTTCCAGCACCCCAGAGAGGTCCTGGGTGTCTCCTCCCCTCACTGACCTCCACACAGGCAGCAAGGCTGTCACCTGAGTAGTTCCACTTGTTCCTGAACTGCATGCGCTCAGGTTATCAGGTCTGTTCTCTCTTTGAGTCTGGCTGCTTTCACTCAACCTGTGGCCTGTGATACTAGCTTATGCTATTTCCTGTGACAGTAATTCTTTCTTTTCCATGCTGTGATATTTCGTTGTACACATATGTATTTGCCTAATTCATTTATCCATCTACTGTTGATGGCTATTGAGTTGTTTTAGTTTTGGAGCTATTTGAATAAAACGGTCGTAAACATTTTACATGTGTGTACATGAACATGCATTTCTGGGTTTATACCCAAGAGTGGATTTGTGACTCTTAGGTTGTATGTATTCTCTACATTATTAATTTTCATATTCTTTCTTTCACAGATTGTATTCTGGTGGAATTAGGGAAAAATTGCTTAACGTATGCCTGGAACTAATTTTCTTTCCCATATGCTACTGTATGTTTAATCCAGCTACCGTATAAGAGTATTTCTACATACTATACTGAAACATAGATAACATTCATATGCCTTCATTAAAAATTTTTAAAGATAAGAAAAAGGTTCTTCTTAGTACCACAATCATTTTGGCCTAATTCTAACAATCAGTTTCTTGGATTTCTGAGGGATCCTTATTTTTGCTCATAGGGTTTGTCTGAGCCTCAGACCTGCCTCCTGGATGAGCTTTTTCATCTGTGAAGATTTCCAGTGGTTAGCTGCATTCCTGCTCAGAGTAGCTGAAGTTATTTTTAGATCTATGAAGTGGTATTCTATTATTTTGGCAGCATTTTATTTTTAAAACCAAATAAAAACTGGCCACATATCTTTTTTTTTTTTAGTGTGGGCACTGGCAAAGTAAATTAAAATGTAATTCTATTTACAGATGTGAATATGCTGTTTTTAGTTCTTTTATACTGATAGAAGATATCCACGGATTTTTTAAAAAACTTTATATTAATATAATCCAAGACATAAGAAACTTCTCTCACCTCCATTTCTGTCTTTCCACCCTGTGGAGTAGGTGTCCGTGTGTGTATGTGTGAGCATGTGTGCGTGAGCGTGTGTGTGTGCATGTGAGCATGTGTGTGTAAGCATGTGTGCGTGAGGATGTGTGTGAGCCTGTGTGTGAGAGCATGTGAGCGTGTGTGAGCATGTGTGTGGGCATGTGTGTGAGAGCATGTGTGCGTGAGCGTGTGAGCATGTGTGAGAGCATGTGTGCGTGAGTGTGTATACATGTGGTATGTGTGCACGTGTGTGTGTGAGCATGTGTATGTGTGCACATGTGTGTACACACATAAAGGATATGGAATCAAACCTCACTAGCTGCAGGTACGTGAAGGGAAGACTAATCTAACGTAGTGAAAAATACTAAAACCTGACTATAGTTTTCAGATAAATTAATTTGGACTGGAGATTCAGCAGAGGAAGGTAATTATGGAGAACAGACTGGAAGAGAACTAGCTCATTTGTTCCTATAGATTGGTGGGTCTGAAACTTGAATGACCCTGGTGATTATTTGGGGAAGCTCACTAACTATTCAGATTGTTGGGCTTCACTCCTTAAAAATGCTGACATAGGAAGTCTAAGGTAGGACAGATGTCTGCATTTAACCGGGACCCTCTAAATGTGCTCAAATCTTGAGCTAGACAAGCAGAGATCAGCGGGCCAGCACGCTTCATTTCCCTCACTCCGCGGACACCTGTTTACTGGGTGGTCTCTCTGGCATAGTGTCAGTGGCCTGGCCCTGTCAGGTGGTCCGTGATACACAGCAAACGTGAAGTAAAGGTTGCTTGTTGTTAGGAATCATCACCGTCATTATTTACGTCATTTATAAGTATAGTTGATAGAATGCTATCTTTGTGCACATAGAGTAAATTTAATGTTTTGGTCATCTTGAATGCCCCATGAATTGTTCTAATAGGCACTATTTTAAATGATTTTAAATATGGAAACTTAGAAAATTTTGGAAGTCATGCTAAATATAAAGTCATGCTGTAAAGTTTCTGAGTGATAGAAATGGGGGCCAAGACCTTCCACATCTTTACTGCAACTAGAGTGAACAATTTTTTTTTCCCCAGAGTATATTTTGAACATTTTTGCACAATAACAAATCATGAACATGCAGGAGCAAATGCTGTTTTAATTTAAAAGTTCCACATAGAGTATATTTTTAGATAATGCTTTAACTCTGACTCTTAACACCTCATACTGTATAGTACTTTTTAAGTTTCCCATTGCTCCTGGAGATTAAAGAACTTGAGAAATTTCGCAATCAGCTAAAATGTAGCTTTAAAGACTCATAGTATGCAAATATAGAAAACTCAAGCTTCTGTTCACAGCAGGTAAGACTTCAGAGCCACAGCCTCATTTAATTATAGTTTTTAAACAAGTACACTGCACTTACTTGACAGTCGTTAAAGAGCTTTATCAGTGAGCTCCAAATGCTTGGTTTCAGCAGCAGGACAATAATGATTACGTGGGACAAATGTGGGTATTATCTGGACTGCAGTCACACAAAATTACAGCATTGTCTATTTTCTATGTATTTGTAGTTTGGAATTTTAACTTTTTATTGCATTTTATCCTGGCTGCTTTGTGTCTCACATTTTTAAATACAGTTAGACTAAGCATTAAAGGTGCCCTGAACAAAAGGGCATTTTAAGTTCCAAATTTGTATCATAGTATAATAATTCAACTTAAGGATTTTATATGACATTTGATACTTTGTCCTCTTTTTATTTTATTTTTAAATTTTTCTTTTCATTTTAGAAATAAATTCTTGCTTTGCCACCCAGGCTGGAATGCAGTGGTGCCCTTGTAAGCTCGCCTAGACTTAAGCTATCCTCCTGTTTCAGCCTCCTGTGTAGCAGGTGCTACAGGTGTGTGGCACCAGGCCTAGCTAGTTTTTTTAATTAGAAACAGGGTATATTGTCCAGGCTGATCTTGAACTCCTGGCCTCAGAAGATCCTCCACCTCAGCCTCCCCAAGTGCTGGGATTACAGGCATAAGTCACTGTGCCCTGCCTCCTCTTGTTTACCATTGTTGAAGAAGCTTATCTGTAAAGTAGAATTATGTTCTGGATGGAACTCAAAATCCAGACTCCTTTGACTGAATGTTGGAAATAACATAGGACTTCTAAGGCAGAAATCAAGGATCTCGGGCTGAATGAAGAGGCCGGTAGTGATTCCTCCTTGGCAGATGTGTTCTCTCCGTGTGTTGGTGGGTTAGCATTGATACATTTTTCCTGAATTGCTGATTCAGTCAGCAAGTAGGGGAGTAATCTGTAGTCCTGGAACAGAAGAAGGTGAGGAGGAACCTGCAGGAAAATAGATTCCGAAGCGGCTGCTGTTTGTCCTAAAAATGAGACGGTGGCTGTTCCAGCGTGAGTCCCTGGTCCTGCTCTGGCCCGAAACATCTTTCACTCTTCCAGGTGGTTAAGGTGCTCGGGTTGGCTGCAGTTTAACCTTGAGGTGGGAAGCAGCAAACCCGCCCTGTTCTCTGTAGTTGGAATCGTCACCAGTTCTGGCTTGTTTGACTCCCAGCTTTCCAGGGATCTCGGCGTGTGTTAATTTTAATAATCTGAGTTCCATGTTAACATATGCTTAAAAAATCATTGATTCAGAGTTGACTAATTTGGAACTTTATAAATCATGTCAACTTTAAGAACATTATCATTAAGAAAGGATTTTGAAGCTGAAGTTCATTGAGGGGAAATGGCACCTGTGGCGGATATAACTAAAGTGACAACGGTCATGTCACTGGGAGGGGAAATGGCATCTGTGGCGGATGTAACTAAAGTGACAGCTGTCATGCTGCACATGTCACGTAACTAAAGTGACAGCTGTCATGCTGCACATGTCTTACATACACATGTAAAAAATCTTCATGTACAAACGAGCTGCGAGTTGCTGCCTTTGCTCTTACTAGCTACGTAACTATAAGCTTTCCGAGTTTTGTTTTCTCTTTCTGTAAATGAAGAATTTGGCTTGGATAGTTTCTTACAGTCGAGGCCAACTCTAATAACTTGGTGACTCTGAAGTCAACGGGATGGGCTCAGCTGACTTACTTCATTACATATTTGAGAAAGCATTGAAATTGTATCTTTTAGAGACTCTCATAACTCAACTTGTGATTTGTCTGAATAACTTAACCCCACAGTTTTTAATTAATAGTTTCATGATTGAATTATACTAGGATTCAGAAAAGGAATCTGATTTGGGTACTAAGAAGATTTAGACAATAATAGTAATAGATTAAAATAAATACTTACTTTAATATACAAAACACTTGTATGGTATATCTGTATTTTGCGGAGACCATCAAGAAGAAAATTTCCTTTGAGGCTTGGCGCCAGCAACATACACCTAAGGTGGCAGGTTCAAATCCAGTCCACCAAACAACAATGACAGCTGCAACTAAAAAATAGCCGGGTGTTGTGGTGGGCACCTATAGTCCCAGCTACTTGGGAGGCAGAGGTAGGAATCTCGTTTGAGCCCAGGAGTTGGAGGTTGCTGTGAGCTATGATGCCACAGCACTCTACCCAGGGGCATAGCTTGAGGCTCTGTCTCA